ATATAAGCGTGCAAAAGCTGGGCTTTCCAACCCACATATGCAGACCTGGGCTGTCCAACCCATGATGGTTTCGGGTTTGAGGGTTGAAGGTGTAACGATTTTTTGCGGTACATGGGGGGGGGTGGGCGGGGGTAGCAATTTACTTTAAACATTTCGGGCTAGATATATATTATGAATTAATGGAAACTCACGGAATCCGAATGTTTGTTTCACACGGCAGGGCGATGAATACGGATGCCGCCATCCGTCCGATCACAGCTTGCTCAGCAAGCGTCTCTTCATGGTCCTAACCTCATCCAAGGTTGTGCCATTCCTGAGCTCCTTGAGCAACTTCTCGATGATTGTTCTGGCATCCTCGAGCTTCTTGGTCTGGACTTGAATGACCCTCGGTAGTTTTGAAGCAATCGTGGTGCTAAGCCCCTTTTCCAAGCTAGAAATCCTACAGGGCAGACTGGCAAACTGAACATGAAAAAGATGCACTCAAGTCCCAGCCGCTGTCTTCCATCAGGTCCAATCCTCAAAGCACTTGCAGCACGGCCCTTGTAATCCATGATGATCAACTTCTTCACCTGCTCCTGCCATGTACTGATACATGTTGGTTTAACCATAACAGCTATACATGCCTATCGCGGACAGGGATGTCCTTGGTCAAGCTTTGCATGGGCGGATACCGGCGTCTCTTCTTCTTTCCATCCTTGGCCTTGCCAGATCTAGCTTCTACGAGTTTAGGATTCAGTGTTTTATGTTTCTTAAACTGTCTCCATCCTAGCTTCTACGAGTTTAGGATACAGTGTTTTATGTTTCTTAAACTATCTCCATCCTCCTTCTTCTTCGTGGGCTCGACTTCCTTTGCGGCTGCCTTTCCTTTTTTCTTCGGGTCCTGGAAAGTTTAGGATTCAGGGTTTTCAAGCATTAGTTGTAAACCAAACAAACTGTTATGTCAATCCTGCTTCTTCGTGGGCTCGGCCTCCTTTGCGGCTGCCTTTCCTTTTGTCTTCAGATCCTGGAAAGTTTAGGATTCAGGGTTTTCAAGCATTGTAAACCAAACAAACTGGTTATTTCAGTCCTTAGAGCTCGGCTTCTTCATCACAAGCTCCTTCAAGTCTGCTTTCTTTGCAGGAACTGGCGAGCAGTCGTTGGCAGCCTGGCTGAAAGAGCCCTTCACGGTCGACGGGGTCTGCGGGGTCTGCGGGATCTCCAAGGCCTTGATTTTCTCCAAATAGTCCACCCCAGAGACACGTCGCTTGGGTGTCTGCGGGATGTCCTCTTCCTCCACTTTCTTTCTCTTTTTCTTGACATCTTCCACTTCCTCCTCCCTTTCCTCCTGCTCCTTTGCCTTCTCCTTGGAAGTCACACTTCCTTCATCGTTTCCTACAACCATGTTCCTTACCTTTGCGAGCAGGGCCTTCTCGTGATTCGTGAGTTTGGAAGAAGCCTCACGGTACCGCACTTCGTCTTTCATCCTGCGGGCATGGGTGAAGACTGTCATCAGCGTCTCGCTCGTCTTCCTGGCCCACTCTCCTTTTCCTAAATCATCTCCAAAATAACACACAACAAGCTGCAGGGCTTCCTTTATATCATTGAACTTGAACTGAAGGGACTCTTCAACCTCGTGGCAGGCGGTGATCAAGTCCAGGGCTTTGACCAGCCCCCGACCACTCGCTGCAGCGCTTCGTTGCAGGTGCCCGTAGGGCGACAACTCGAAGCTTCTTGCCATCCCTGCTTTCCTCACATACTCCTTCAAGGCTTCTCCCAATGTCTGCGAACACACATCCGCCTTTGGGAAGTTCCTTGGACCTCCTCGGCCCGGACCATTCTCCCGTTTGGGGGACATGGTTCCTACAGGTTTGCCTCTCGCTTGAACAGCTACACCTGCACAGAAAACCATACAATCAAATAAGCTTCCTTCCTGCATGTTCTACAAAATCCAGCATAGATCCTGGGCTGTCCAACCCACATAGACAGCGAACATCGACCTAGCCGTGATGAATCGGGGCACTATAACAAACGTGTTGCATGTGTTTCTCTGCATGTGCACATGTTTTAAACACCATACAATCAAATAAGCTTCCTTCCTGCATGTTCTACAAAATCCAGCATAGATCCTGGGCTGTCCAACCCACATAGACAGCGAACATCGACCTAGCCGTGATGAATCGGGGCACTAGAACAAACGTGTTGCATGTGTTTCTCTGCATGTGCACATATGCTTTAAACTTTAGCTAGATCATGCAATCCAGTAATTTCAATAGCAATAATTTCAAGAGAAAATCGACCATAAAATCAATAGAAAATCGCAAATAAAATCAATAGAAAATCACAAATAAAATCAATAGAGAATCACAAATAAAATCAATAGAAAATCCATTCTAAAATCAATCGAGGAGACAGTCGTGAAATCAATCGAGAATCCTGAAACTAGGCATGCATAAAATCAATAGAATGCAATGTCAGAAATCAATCGAACCCGACCCAACAACAGCATGCGATTCGATTGAAAAACACCAAAATCAATAGGGTTTTGAATTTTTGAAAAAATCAAGCGTTCGATTGAAAAAAATCAATATCGGATGCTCTGGGGATGTAAAAGAATGACTATTGTGTGAGTTTTGCGTATGATTCATTGATTGCTATGAATACTACCCTTATGCAAATAACAATACTATTCTTTACGTGGGTACCCGAGGTACCTGCGGCTCTTGCACTGGGAACCCCGCTTCGGATTCCGGCCTTGTGACCTGGAAGCTTTAGTACTTGGCATTATTGGGCACTCAGAGCATAGATGCCTGAGGACAAACAAATGCTTAGGTGCAAGTTCGTCAGAAGTCGAGAGGCTCTAGATAAAAGATTTAGGGTTTGGGGGTTTAGGGTTGATCTGCCAAGTTTGGGAAGCCCAACCCTCAAACCCGAAGCTCCCAAACCTGACACCCGATGGCAATCCTAATCCGTATAAGTCCATAAATCCTAAACCCTGAACGTTTTGCTGCTGCCTGGCTGACTTTAAAGCACAAAGCTCCGAACAAGCAGCCCCCTGGAACACGTCAGTCCAACAAGCCGATCTAACAACAAAATCTGAGTAACCCTGAACCTTGCTAAACCCGAAAACCCGTAAACTTTGTAGAGCCTAAGTCCTTAAATCTAAGAGCTGGTTTATGCGGTTCAAGAAACTTGCGCAGGCTTCCTTTTAGAGATGCCAGTGTGCAGGGCAGGGTTTAGGGAGTTTTAGGGTTTAGGGTTTATCGTTTTACCTAGACGTACTCACGGGGTCTCTAACGTCGTGCTTTTCCCAAAGGGTCCTGAGTATTAGTATGGTGGAGATGTTGCCCAAGCCAAGAAAATGCCATAGCAACGCTACATTTTACTATATGGGTACATTGGACGCTTTGGGTCTGTGTCCAAGTTGAATGCAGTGACGCCAGTGTGTATCATGGAGGGTTTAGGGCTTTAGGGCGTACTAAGAGTACCACACCCCGACTCTTGCATCCAAACACCTCGCAATCCTGTGCACAAAGTCTGGAGTTCACCACCCTGTGCTCTTAGATAGAGTCTTTGGCTGCTCAGTGGCGAACAACTACAACACAGAACCTTATTTATATCCAGGGACACCATGCAAAAGGTACCGGCGAGTAGGTACACCTCATCTTCATCATGTATAGCCACGATACGACGTTACAAGTAATTACAATACACCACGGTACTCTGTGAAATGTGCTCTCAGTATCTGGCCTGCTGGCCAGGACTGCTGCTCCTTCGCCAGCTGGAGTCCAAACGAGTCTACACCTCGGCAGCGCGATTGCGACTTTGGTTTCTAGGGTTTAGTATTTAGGGTTTATGGAGTTTGGGGATACCATGTACTACCAGATGTACCCTGAACAGATGCTAAACTCCTAAACTTAGCTGGAGTCCTAACCAGTCTACACCTCGGCAACGAGATGGCGACTTGGGTCTCGAGGGTTTTACGTTTAGGATTTAGGGACTTGGGGGTTAGAACTGTACACCGAACAGATACTAAAGTTTAAAGTTTAAACTCCTAAACTCGAAGCCCAAGCCGATGATATATACGATGTTTGAGGTAAGGTCTGGTCATAATCTTTAGCAGTGGTTTTGTCTTGGCCCGACGAAGATGTACACCACGCAGACATTGTAAGATTCGTAATGGGGGATCTTTGGTTAAGGGTTTAGGGTTTGGGCCTACTGGTACCGTATAGGCTGTCCGTATCGGAGTTAGGATCTTGCAAGAAACAAAGCCTGCTCTGGCAAACTCAACCGTTCCTGCACAGCTTTTCGCGAACAGACATCACACCGGCAGCCTGAACGCACGGAAGACCAGGTATACGGGGCAACCAACAAATACCAGAAGCAGACACGGCGGATTGAACATTTAATCCGTAAGCCTAAACCGTGGCAAGCCCTACGGGCCCGCTAAATAACTAGCACGGAACCCGCAACCTTCGAGCAGTGGATTTTCGAGCCGGAACAGAGTTTCTGACGGGTGTTCGTAGTGATCCAATGAGTCGCACTGCATTCCCGAGTAAACGTGAACCATATAATTTTAAAATCTCGAGGGCTCCCCTCAACCCCGAAGAGCCTACCTGTGTATTTAAGGTCCCTTGTTGCTGCAACGTTCTCGCACGTCCCCTCGAAACATCTTGCTTAGGTTCAGAAGTCTATACTTAACCACTGCCGGCACTGCGATGACTTGGCCCACTGCCAAGCGAAGGAGCACCTGGAAAAAGGCTGGCAATCTACGCTAAGGCAATCTCGGGTTTTGGTGGAAATGATTGGCAGGAACATGTTGGGATCGCTGACTGTCGGATATCACAGGAGGCACACAAACGCTAGACATGCACCTACAAGCCGTGGCCAAAACATCTGCACGAATCTGTTTCTGCACATCTTGCAGCTCTAGCTCTTTGCTTCGTCCTGTAGAGATGGCGCATCCCACTATCAAAATCGAGAGAATTTCAGCAATTCCTCATGTATCTCATGCACTGGCTTCGTCAGCGCGCATACACAAGTCCCTGACTCAAAAAGATTTGCCGCAGAAGACGGCTCAGAACAGTCACACACATACCATTGCCCAGCATTCCCCTCAATGTTTTCTCGTCTGTGCCCTTCAGCATTGCCGCGTGCTGCTTGTCTGGGTACCCTTGCAGCCGAAGAAAATCATTTGCATTCAAGAAGCGATCGCGAATCACAGAGTAGTAGCCGTGCTCGTTGATGCAGCGGCTGTGCGTCAAGCAGGGGCAAGCGCCCTCCATAGCATGCCCAGTACTTGAACCTGTATCGATGATGTGGTCGTCGGTCCATTTGAGGGTGGGCTTCTTCTTGTCGAATCGCTTGAGGTTCTTCTGCACGGTCTTGCAAAGAACGCGGCCAAAATTGTCCTCGGTCTTGCGTTGGAGATCTGGCAGAGGATCGGGAGCTCGAGGTCCGAGGATTTGCGTCAGTGTCAAGGTGCAGCTGACCGGCATTGGAAACGTAAAATCATGTATCTGGGTTGTCTTCAGGATGCCCACGATGTACAAACGGCTGCGATTCTGTGGAATTCCACCGTGGAGGTCTGCGCGCAATGTGTCCCACATCACGTTGTAGGCACCTTCATTGATGCCACGAAGAACGGTCAGGAGGTCACCGAACTCGGTTGGAAATGAGTCGGGCAGTCCAGGGACGTTTTCAAGGACAAAACACGAAGGTTTGCTCTCGGAGATGCGGTCGAAAATGTCGCCAAAGAAGTTTCCACGGTCTTCATCCTCCGAACCTTTCTGCTTCCCTGCACAGCTCCACGGCTGGCACGGAAAGCCGCAGCACCACAAGTGCACTCCGCGCATGGCTTCCTTCCCTGAAGCATCCTTCATGTCGGGACTCAGAACCTTCGGCTTAATGACGGTGTTGATGTAAGACCTGGGACTGCAAATGTGTCACACGAAGTTCTGCACATGAAGACGGTTTCAGGAAACTCAAGAAACAGGGTTAAATTCGTACCCGGCCGCCGCTTCTTGGGGCAGATCTCCGATGCAAAGACGTGCTCGATCTCAAAGCCAAAACCAGGCGTGGCCAGTTGCGCAGCCAAGCCTTCCGGACAAAGCCCGGAGCAATCCGAAGCCACCTGCATGACGTTGTTGGGCAAGCGCATGGGAGCACAGCCATGGAGCTCTTGCCTCAAAAACTGGCTGGGCGCGAAAGAGGCAGGCTTCTTGCGGATGGCCGGCTCACCCGCGGCTGGCTTCTTTCGCATGGCCGGAAGCTTTTTGACTGTCTTCATAGCCAGGCCTCCTAGCTTCACTCGCTCGGGCAAAAGACTGCAAAGTTCTCAGTAAGAATACTGTGAGTTTGCGAAGCATTGCAGTAACAAAACGAGAACGCACTCTCGTTTTACTCGCGGAGGATCAAAGCGATGCCCCTCTTCGCCCAAAGCCTATGTAAGCCCTGCGCCCAAAATAGAACCTCCTATATTCCAAATCCGATGTCCGTAGCAGAGGATCTTGACACAAAGGCTTCTGCCGTCTCGCAGCAAAACTAAGAATGCCTTTGTGGCATCACTGACCAAGGATTCGATTCATGGCGGCCTGCAATCAGCAATGCTGCACAACACGCGAACAGATTGCCCACAACACTCAAAGCATGAACAACATGTACTTCCTGGCTCTACCGAGGCTTAACAAAAGTCGCCCTGGCACTCATTCATATCCTCCCGGCCTGCATCTCGTCCATACCACTCGTTCCCGGCTGCTGATTCCCATTGCCACCGGTGTTGCTCGTTCCCGCCTGCTGATTCCCATTGCCACCGGTGGAAGGGCCGACGCAAGCGGCAAGCTTCCCGTCGTAAAGGTCCCCATTCGCCTTCAAGAACTCCTCCATCAACATGGCGCACAGTCTGTTCTTCAGAAGGCTCTCGTGATCAGCGGTCAAGCATACACCGAAATAAGGAATGCGCCGGCAAGTTGCAACAAACGCGAGCGTGCCCGAGGAGGCGGAGCAATCAAGGATTGCACCCACGTTGTAGCTGTGAATCAGCTCCTCGAAGAACGGCTTGGACCGCTCGTGGTGGAAGACGGCCTCCATTGCGGTTTTGCTCTGCCTCGGGGTCGTTGTTGCATCGAAGCCCGTGGTCTTGCCCCCAACAGCGACCCGAAACGGCCCCAGCATGCTGACTTTCTCCTGCTGTGCGGTTTCTATCCAAGTCGGAAATGATTGGTTTAACTTGTTTGTATCCGACCAAAGGCTAAAAGCAATGAAATCCATCTGTCCTGATGCGGCAACATCCACAAGTTTGAGGGATTGTCCATGTGGAGTGCCACCATGTTCCCCACGTTGGTGGCTTTCGGATTGCTGAGTCTTGGCCGTTGATCCATCGATTGGCTGAAAGGCTCGGCCGTGACAAGCACCAGTGTTTCGATCTGGTCAACCCCGGCATTTGTAGACCTTCTCCTGCTTCTGATAGCCTCCTCTTCGTACGAGACGCAAAGTCGGCAGACATTCTGTGCAAGGGAGTCGCCGGCATCATCCTGCAGACAAGAAACCCGGCATTTCCAACACTTGTCTAAGTTCGTCACTGCCTAGAAAGTGTCTCTCCATGTCTCGCCTCGGGTTTCTTTGCGAGCTCTCTCTACCTCTCTCTCTCTCTCGCGCGCTCTCCTTTCTCTTGCAACTTTCTTCTTCAATGACTACCTGCAAAAACAGCCTTCAAATATAGGCGCTTTCCCCTTTCTCTCTCTCTCTCTCTCTCTCTCTCTCTCTCTCTCTCTCTCTCTCTCTCTCTCTCTCTCTCTCTCTCTCTCTCTCTCTCTCTCTCTCTCTCGCTCTCTCGCTGGGTCGACATTGAATGCAATGCAGACCTCACAAGGTTTCGACGCTCACACTCGCACAAGGCAGGCAAGGCTCCACATAGTCCACAGAATCACAACTAAGCTGATGCAATGCCCCATCACATGACTGTTCAAACAGGCAACAAAGGTAAGGCTCAAACACAGCTAAAACAAACGAACCAAGACATATGCTGAGGCAATTGCAGAGGTCGGATCTCTGCCTCACAAGGTTTATGGTTCATAAACTTGCAGGGTAATTAAAACTTCCACGACGGCTTTTCTTTCTCTCTCTCTCTCTCACGTATCTCGGTGTCATGCTCATTTTCCTTCTCTGTGGCTTGTTTGTGTACCTGCTCGCTTGCAGGGCTCTCTCCTCTGTCTATGACTTGCATGGATTTTGCCACGCCAAGAGCATAGCAATGGGAGCCAACAGACCCCTGGCATATTCCAAAGCGCACAGCTTATTCAATGCGGCATCCGCTTTGGGCCATCACAGCTTGAGATCACTTACTTAGTCAATCCGAGTCAACTTCAATCGTACTCACACCCTACTACTTCCCAAACATAAATTATCAACCCTTCTCCTGCAAGAGGTTGGGGAGCTTGGTCACGTTGGTTGTCGATCCGTTGGAGCAAAGCACGTAAAGGTCGCGCCCGCCAAGCATGCTACCGGTGTTGTCTCTGGTGTGAACCACAGCCTTCAGGAAGTTGGAAATGAACTTGCTGTTCAACGGGACAGTCCGCAGGTGCGGCGCCGTGGCCGCTTCACCCAACTGGGCTGGGTCCACGAAGATCAATGTCCACTTTGGCCTTTCGCACGGCTTGCTCGCTGAGGAAGCCTTCATCTTCTTTTCCAAGTCTACGTAGCTGCCAGGATAGACCATGAACTGCACGTTGGAATTGATCAAGAACTTTGCTTTTTGCTCAGCTTCCGCGAGCTTGGCCTCGTCGCTACACACTCGTCCAACCATGAAGCTCTGCACAGCTGGGCTTCGACTCGTGTCCGAAGCCGCCTCCGCGGCTGCGGCGGGTGCTGATCCGGAGTCGGTCTGCGCCGCAGCTTGCGCGAGGTCCTTGGCCTTTTTTTCTTTCGTGAACTGCTCGCTCACTTTCTTGAGTTCCTCCCCAATAGTGCCGCTGCCGTTGACCACGTCGACGACCTCCGTCTGGTTGCGGACGGCCACCTTCAAGTCACCATCGTACTTGGATGTGTAGATGATGTCCTGAACAACACACACATGTATCACCAACCGGCAACAAAGGTGCATCTACACAGTTGGTGTCATCAGAATTGCTACAACCTGTCCTGCAACAACGGAATGAGCAAGTCCGCGGAGGCGGGCCAACCAGCTTTCCAACTCAAATCGACCTCGGATTCCCTGGGATAGCCGAATTTTTTGCGGAACTCGCCGGGCTCGTGAAACGTTTGCTTCAAGATGTCCCTGTGCTGAGCCGCCTCCACATTCGAGTCAAGCCAGGGTCCTAGCAGGTGAAGTCGCAGTTTCATCTTGTAGATCACAACGTCGACGTAGCCCTTGTTTCTCTCAGACGCTGTCCCCGTGAGAAAGCGGGACGTGGCTGAGGCAGGGTCCAGGAAGCCTGCCTTCCTTTGATCTATCAAGATGGAAACGACCCAAACCACCTCATCTGTTGTCAGGCCGCCGACCTTTGAAGCCAACGCATGGAGTTGCGAGGTGAGTCCAAAGATCCCTTTGCTTTCGCCAAGGTTCTCGCCATCCTCCTGCAACATGAGGTCCACGACTCGTGGGTGGCCAAGAAGCCTGTCGTAGATGGTCGTGCAATGGCTCACCATTCCGACTTTGATAGGCTCAGACTTCGGGGAGAGAACGAGGTTCTTGTTGTAGTCCTCCACAATGCGCTCAGCGGACCATTGGTCGCCCAATAGCAAGCGCCGGTGATGAATATCAAACACTCGCTGGATCGCCGTGCAACCTAGCACCGTCAAGGTCGTCGCATCCTCCTTCCACTGCTGAGCTTGCCAGCTCAGATCCTGCTCCGATTCGACAACGACCAGGGCAGCAGGAGCAGTCACGAGGTGCTCCAACCATTCATCCAAAACATTCTCCGGGTCATTCCCGCCGTTCTCCTCAACCTTCACGGCACTCTGCCAAGCAGCCTCGTACCAAGCCATGACAGACTCGATCGGGGAAAGCGTCCGCCACAAGCCAAAGGCCGGGAGGGAGTCCGCGTCAATCTCGGCTCGCAGTATGGGAACTGCAAGTTTTTGCGATGCGAAAGATGCCGGCCGGGAAAACCAGTGATCACGAATGGTCCTGCCGACATACTGAGACCCCCAATATGCCCTATAAGTATATGCCAGGATGATACTTGGACCCTTCGGGCCTTATGGCGCCACGGTTGAGCGGCATCTGGGGGAGCGGAGCGTAGCCAGGGTTTAACCAGGCTAAGTTGATGGCGCAAAGATAGCGCTTGTCGCGCTTCAAGCTGATCAACGCCGCTGCCGGGTCAAATGGCTGAACGAAACACTGCTGCGGCGGCTTCAGCAGCTCAGCCTTCCCCGACACCGCATGGGCATGGAAGTACTGCACATGGTCCGTGTGAGCCTGCAGACACTCAGCATTGGATGAAGACGTAACTGGAGCCGGACCCGCCGGTAGCACAGGCGCCGGGGCTGCCTTTGCTGCCGCTCTGCCCTTCTTCTTGGACGCAGGGTCTGCTGCGCTGCCGCTGCGCTTGCCCATGGATTCAAGGGCCCTGCTGCTCGACGCTCGAGCGATGGCCAGGACTGAAAATCGCACAATCTTGCGAGCCAATCGCAGAATTTCACAAAACAGGAACTTCAATCTCTCGCTCTACAGATGCACTTCGCAGCAGGATGTCACCCACAGCATCGACTTCTGTCACTCGCCGCAAGGATGCACTTGCACTTCAAAGCTGCCATTGACCCGTCAGAAAGCATGAGCTTCAGTGTCTACAGGCACTAGGATGCATTTCACAGCAGCAAACAGCCCGCCTCTGCAGCAACGTTGGCATGGAGACCTCGGACTCAAGGGTCATTGTATTGAAGCCCTCCCTCCCTCACAACGCCCAAAACCTTTTTGATATCCTAGCCCACGGCCACGGCCGAAACAACCTCATGCTTTGGGAGCCTTACTAATGTCGGAGCCTTACTAATGTCGGAGCCTTACTAATGTCGGAGCCTTACTAATGTCTGAACCGACGGCCGCGGCCCAAACAACGAAATAGTATCCACGGCCACGACCGAAACAACCTAATGCATTGGGAGCCTTACTAATGTCGGAGCCTTACTAATGTCTGAACCGACGGCCACGGCCCAAACAACCAAATACGTATTTCGTTGTTTGGGATCCTTACTAAGGTCCGGGGCACACAACAGCTCGACCCAAATTCCCACACAGTTTTGCACCACGGAGCTGTCAGAATGACAAGCCCCACAAACACCGGAATACGTATTTGGTTGTTTGGGGGCCTTGTCTTCTTGACCACTGGAAACTGCTATATCTGTAAAACAACAGGGCACCACAGGGCGTCAGAATGACAAGCCAGCCAAACAACCAAATACGTATTTGGCTGTTTGGGGGGCATGTCTGAAAGACAAGGTTTTGAAACAGCCAAACCTCGCCCGGACCTTATAAGGGAGCCGGCTTTATTAAGGATCCGCCCGGACAAGTGCAGATGACCAACTTGAACTGCCCTGCTCTGAATGCAAACAGGCACGTGACCGAGGCCAGCACATTTCGAAGCGAGGCTAGCAGGCAAACCACCTTCCGACGAATCGAAGTCAGGATGTGACCGCAAACACAGGCTCAAAGCACTTGCAGAAGTCGTCTTTTGCTCTTCTCCCCAAGCCAACAAATGCACTCAGTTTCCCTACCCCGGGAAATAGCTCCCTGCAACAGCTATCAGCCAGCAAAGTGGCAGTATGACTGCCACGCCGTCTCAAGGCTGCATACCCCGAAATGAAACTCGTGGCTCAAAAGCCTTTGGCAAGACCGGTGCGACTTCGAGTCCGGTCCTCACAAACGAAAATGGGGCTGGCCAATGCCTCTGGCATCGTGAAGACATGCTTCAGCTTCTGGCGAAAATCATCTTTTTCCTCCTGTACACAGAGTACTATGGTCTGATTTGCTTGCTTTTGATTCAAGCCTCCCTCCATCATATTGAAGATCTCTTGCCGAGCCAGTGGCTGCCATTTGCAGCCCTGGAGTTTCAGCAATTGAAGCAAGCCCCGGCATTCTTCAGTGTGATCTCCCATGAACCGAGGTGTGACATGAATCTTGCGCTGTGTACTCATGGCCCTGCAGAATGCCACTGCCACGCCCTTGGAGCCTCCTGTGCGCACAAACTCTGGCTCACAAAGCGCCGAGCCACTCAAGCCCGCAATGAATCGAACATCATCCGTTGCTGCTCGGGGGTTTGGCAAAATCAGCAGGTCAGCTTTCCAGATCTCTGTCACACACGGGTTGTCCACCAATCTGAAACCAAGGTCTCGGACGCTTGAGTGCACGAACACCGTCATGTCCGCGCCCCACGCATCCTGCGGAGGGTTGCACTCCCATTTCGCACAGTCGGCTTCTTTAAACAATCTGCACACAGGAAATTCATCATATGTCGTGATATGTTATCTATAATGCGAATCCTACGGGCCACAGTCGATTGTGCAGGGCTTGACATGTTTTGCTGGAAATGCAGAAAGAAAGTCCTGCTTCGCAACTGTGCGCCGCTGAGCCTTTCGATGCTCGTTATTCCGCTCACGTTGGCCCTGGCGCAGCTTCTCGCGATAAGCCTCCGCTTCCTGTAGAATCCCCGGATGCTCTGATCCCTCTGGCAGATGGCCTTGCAGGTATGCTTCCATCTTGTGCTTCTTAAGCTTGGAATCAATGAACTTCAATTCTTTGTTGTGGCTGTCTCCAAAGACATCCTGGATGGCATCCACGGTCAAGGGGGTGGGCGCACTGGCACTGGGAGTCATGACCAAAGCATCAGTGGCAGCCGCACGTCTCTCGAGGAAACCGGCTTCCCCAGTTTTCGCCCTGCAAGCAAGCTGGAATACAAAGAAGCCACAGAGAAAGAACATGTGCGTGACACACATACATTATAAATAATTATGTCGGGAGGAGAGAGAGAGAGAGAGAGAGAGAGAGAGAGAGAGAGAGAGAGAGAGAGAGAGAGAGAGAGAGAGAGAGAGAGAGAGAGAGAGAGAGAGAGAGAGAGAGAGAAAGAGAAAGAAGAAACTTGTATCTCTGCTGGCATGCCCCACATGCAACTTTCAGCCTTAATCAAGGTGAGGCGACACAGAGGCCGGGCCCGAAACACCCAAGACCCGACCCCAGACCTCACACCCCATTCCCATTTAACCCTCGACGGTGCCAGCATAGGAAACCCTCCTTCTGCGCCGAAACCATGAACGTGCCCTTTGCGAAGCTTAGTTCTTCGCCACACATATGTAAGAGATTCCAATCAAGAATGCTGTAGCATGCTATGTGACTTAACCCAGCGCCTCGAGTGAAAGACGTCGACAGAAACATGTACACACACATGTGTGTATGTATATATATATATATATATATATATATACATATTGTACACGTATGTACACGTGCATGCGTGCGCCTCTTGGAAGGGATCCCTCTGTCCCAACGATCATCACGTTCTGTGACGCCACTTAATCGCACACGTTTGCAGCATTCTCGCCAAAGTCGTGCTGCCTGCTGGCACAACTCCTTCTGAGTCTGCTCGGTGAGCTTGGGTATGACGTCTTGGTTGAGTATGAGTAAATCCTCCTCCCGTGCGATGTGCTCATCTTGAGAGCAACCCACATTTCTAGATTGCTTTGCAATGCCAAAGCCACGTTCAACATTGGAAGAGGAGCTGCACCAGCAACCGTATCTCGCCAGGACTGGCACCAAAGCATCCGCAGGATGATTGTCCCGCTGCCGCTGCGTCACCTCGATGGCACGCTTCCAGGCCTCGAAATTTGTCAAGGAAGCCTGCTTGGCATACTTGATGGCCACGGGTCGCAAATCATGGTATTCTGCCTGGAGTGTGGGTGCATGGACTCCAATGATTTTCGCCAGCTGCTGCAGCATCCCGTTTTGAGTCGAAGTTGTTGATGCGGCAGTCTTTGCCGAGCAGCTGAAGCATTGGAAGTTGGCCATCAACTCGAAGGATGGGAATTCAGCTTGCCATGTTTGATGCGATAGGACGCAGTACGCAGCCATCCTTGAGAGACATTGTTCCAACATCTCAGAGGTTACTGCGCACGGCCCGCCCCAACTGACACTTTGGCCATTCGTCAGCATGACCGAACGAGCTTCCTTGAGCTTTGTCAACATCAATGCCGTGAGGCCACCTATGTGCAACACTTGCTGCTTGCGGAACATGCAATCTAGTTTCTGATGATAGAACAGAAACTGCTCGGGAATCTCCGCTTCATCCAGGTCGCTGCTGTCCAGGAAAGCGATCATACGATACTGCTCCAGCGCAGCATCCCCCAACATCGATAGCAGCAGGAGCCGCTCCGTCGTGATGGAAGCCAAAGTCTCCACCGCAGCAGCTGCTTCTGCACACCCTCTTCGTGTCTCTTGCACCGTGGCCAGCATGCCAATCACAGCATCAATGGTCAACACCATGCGGCACAACGTTTGCGACTCAGATGCATACCGCTGTGGGGCATAAGCAAAGCTGTGGACATGCTTAGAGAGTTTGACGTCTTCAGTGGATCGCTGCCGCAAGTCCTCGTAGATCTGCTGCAGGTTGGGAAAGTACGTAATGAACTTCGCCGGAGAATTCGTCTTTTCTACGAACTGGTGCATAATGAGGGATATGACTGGATCGGCCTTCCATGGCCTCATCATCATCCTGCGGCGCAGTCAGAACCGAAACAAAATCAAAGATCCCCTACAATCTTAGCCCGACCTTTGACCAGCGTGTGCCCGGTCACGCTGGATGACCTGAACCGAAGCATTTCGGCATGTATTAAGGACATATCCGGCAGCTTGCCAATGGCATGATGCTTAATCCCCTGCCTTCAGATTCGGCAAGCTCTGCTCCATGACATCTTTCAATGGCATTGGGTCAGGTCCTGCGAGCATCGGGGTAGAGCTCAACTCTCGTCCGGCCAGCTGTTCGTCTGCAGCTGCATCTGCAGCAAAACATTCGACCTTCTCCACAAGCTGCCGGTACAGCTCCTTCTCAGGAGACGTGTCAATGGCATCCGCCTTCACAGAGCTGTATGCCGGAGGTGGGGTTCCACTGGCCAGGTTCTCCAAGCCCAGCATGGTTCGCCTGCGAATGCCGACAGAGCCGGGTTGCTCCACCGTTGCCGCATGCTTGGCCAACGCCAGCGTGCCCTCGAACACTTCGAGCTTGGAGTTGACCATTTTGAATCGCGAAAGAAAGCGATTCCCTCGAGCATCCTGCTGCACGCTGATGCACAAAGCTTCTTTCGCAAAATCCCGCATGCGGCCCCTGAATGCAGATGCCAGGCACCATCTCATGACATTGAGCTTCTTTGCTCGGGCCACGTGCTTGGCATCTTTGGATTGCAGCACCGCCTGCCACTCTGCATAGCTTGGAGCCGACTTCTCGTCCTCTTCTACAGCCTTTGACCGGCCCCCTGACATGAAGCGCGCAGCGGCTTCATGAGAAGGAGAATCAGCATGCTTCTTAAATCTTTGCAAACGAAGGTCCCCGCCACACACTTCGAAGTTAGCAAAATGATGCTTGTCCACCCGGTACAGATTCATCAATGAAGCATCCTTGGCCTGCACTTCACTGCAGACTTTGCAGCCCAAGCCCCAACGATCTTTCTCAGCCGAATATTTGCTGCAAAGCCATGAATGTTGACGCTGAAGCTTCTGTTGGCGAGCGAGGAAGCCACATCGGAAACACTCTTTGCCATCGCAAAGCTTCTGATGCTCCTTGTCGTCCCAGCCGCCCCTGGCAGCTTTCACTGCCATGTCTGAGATCATCGCTCCGTGTGGCTCAAGGTTCGATGAGGCCACCATTGAGCACAAAATGTGCTGCTGCTGTGTTTACAATGCTCATGTGAAGCGGCATGGAAGCCCAAGCAACACAGCACTAATGACGCCAAAGACGGAAATGCTTCAGCAGAATCCAAGAAGATGAAAGTCTTCGGTGGGCTAGCGGCTAGCGGAAAGCAATGGCCTCTGATGCGCCCTCGCGTGACCAATTCCATAGGACCTGGCACTGCTTCGAAGCCAGTCCACCAGCACTCTCCAGGGCACATTGGTTGAGTATATTGAGTTATGAGCAATGGCACAATGTATTCTGAAGCGATTGGAGTGTAACAGTCAGAACCCAGCAGCTACTCTGCAGTACTGCTACAATGGTTCAGCCTCTGGGGCACACGGCTATCTTGCACACTGGCTTCTGAGACCCTTGGCTCTGACACATGCAAAGCTTCCGGAATCAAAGGATGCACCAAGCATTTCCATTCAACGGTCCCCGTCTCCCTGATATTACACGTCAGGAGAATGGTCGGGCGCCGCGCTGTGCCGTGATGCGCCAGTTCAGCCGAGGACCTGGGTGGCATGGGGGTTTGCTTGTTTTCAGGGGTTGCAATGCAATCACGACTGCAGTTTGTTGAAGTGTTGGTCTTAGCCTAAACCCTAAAGCCTGTTGCCAGCACTCAATTAGGACGGATGTGTTCCGGAATCTTGTTCGATTTCTTCGAAGTCACATCTGAAATCTAGAGTGTCCGGTGTGCCACATTGCAGCAAGGACTCATCGAATCATGTAAGCTGAGTTTCACACACACACATGTACTGTCACGTACACATGTCCGGCTGACGAGATTGCCAGACTCAATCAGGAAATGACTTGGATTCGGAAGGTATTGTTTCTCCTGGTGCTGCTTTCTTGTTGCACAGAATGTGTATGGAGCATGCCTCGCAAGAGGCCCGCAGCTAAAGAGAAACCCCGGCGCAAGCTGGGGTCAGCTGTGGCCTTATCACAAGAGGCGTGGGACGCTTGGCTCGTCTTTCTACTACAACATCAAGGGCCTAGAATGTACATTCTCGTGGCATTAACAGGACTATTTGCACTTCGAGCATCGGAGGCTGCAATGCTGCGCCGAGAGGATATACACCTTCAGACCCACCCCCCATATATCAACATCCCGAAAGAACGTGGCCGTGGCAAGTCTCCGGGGGACGTACCGATAATGCCGGAGCAGGCCAGCCTTTTGCGACTGTGGCTTACGGAGGGGGTCACTGTGGAGAGAAAAGTGCGAGTGAACCAAAACGGGTTTCAGACCAGGCATGACAAGTATGTTTTGCCAAGCTCGGGTCGTTTATTTCCCTGCCGCCAGACTACCTACAAGAAGAAGCGCATAAAACGAGACCATGTGGGCTACCACGGCGTTTGGTCCGCTGTGCGGAAGGCTGCTGAAGCTTTTTGCAAGACACAGCCTGAGGTTGCCAAATGTTGGAAGCAACTGAGGACGCACAGTGGGAGATCAACCAAGATAACGATGCTCATGGGAGAGGGGGTCTCCCTTGCAATGTCCATGAAATTTGCGAGGCATGCGCAGACAAGCATCAAAACGCACTTGGGGTACGGCAAACTGACCGTGAAGGATATCCATCGTTATCTCCTGGCAGAACGTGGCCGCGGTGCTGCTTTGTTGGCTACGAAACGTGGTGAGAAGCCGATGGGAGAGCCTAGCGAGCCCGACACCGCACCGATGCAGAGACGCTTGCGCAAGAAGACTTCCAACCAAGTGCCGGCAAGGATTGATTTGAACCCCACAGCCACAGACCCCTTAACAGATTGCACCCTCAAGGATGCCATCGCGTGGCACGAGAAAGGACTTCTGAATGACTCTGAGTTCGCCAAAGTGAAGCAGAACATGATCGGAAGGTTACAGGTGTCCGATGGAGCGGAATAATGGTTCTGCTTTGTCCGACTGCTGGGTTGTTGATGTTGAAACATCGACCTGCCCCAAGACCACAGAAACATCAGTCTCACTGAAGGGACGTCCAACCGGGACTTGCGGTCTCTGAGCAAACATAACACGAAATCCTGATTCAATTCCAGAAGCCCCAAAATTTGACCTCGTGTATATTCCCAGCCCAACAAAAACTGTGACTGTAGGCACTGTCGTAGGGTCCGCCGCGACCCATGCACCCTGACATCAAGCCCCAAAACCCGGACCCTAAACCCCCGAACCGGAAACTAAAATCCCTTTTATGCTTTGGCGGAAATCCTAACCGTAAAGCCCTGAAGCCGCCCCCCCACTCCAGGACGCCGATGCCGCTTTGCGTACAGCTGGTGAGAGCCTGTGGAGCTGGGGATTGTCATGGAAGCTGGTCACGAAGAGTTCGCAAGCTCCCTCGAAACTCAAGAAGCCCAGACTAAATCACGCGGAACCCTGAACCCTAGCCACTAAACCCTAAAACGTAACCCCTAGACCGGAAATGAAGAGGAGCCTACTGGTCTTTAGACGGCCTCGAGATCTTAAACCCCAAGCCCGAAGCTGCAAAAAAGGCCTTAAGACTGAAGCCCCTCTAAGCCTCTAAGACCCTAGCCTTGAAACGTAAGTCCCAAGCGCGTGTGGCGTGAAACGCTAGCATGCGATTCAAGAGCTGGCATTCTGGTTGACCGCGGTGTGTAGGGGTTTGAAGTTGAGACCGTTTAGAGCGTGTAGGGCACATGTTCATCTTGCATTCTTGTCAAAAAAAACCTAGGGATTATTATTCTTCATGTTTTGCGTGTTCTGAAGCAACAAGGTTGTTTGAGGTTTTTAGCTTCTCGTACCCAATACTTTTTCCAAGTCTAACCTTTACGGGCGGCGCCCTGTAGGCTTCCAGAAACCCTAACGTTTTAACCCCGAAACCCGAAGACTCAAAACCCCTTAACCCCAAGCCTCCTCAGCGTCAGTTCTGAAGCAATGTGATGTTGGTGATCGGTTTGACACTAGATGGAACCGGCTGGCTTGAACCTCTTACCCCCAACCCCTACCGTCAGATCATGGTGCTTTAGAAGCCACCAACTGCGTGAACCATTTCTAACCCCAAGACAACTACTACGAACCCAGCTAAGCACCTAAAATAACCCAAGGGCGACCTGAGCCATCTCGAAGGTGACACAGCAGCTGCGACGGCTGCAGGGCAGCCTGCAAGCAGCTCGGATAGTTGGAAGCATAAGCGAGCACTGAAGAGCACTAGCTTAGACCCGCTTGGCCCTGGGATAAAGGGTTTCGGGTTTAGGGTTTAGGGTAAAGATTTGGAGGGTTAAGGGTTGCAGTGGAGTTTGAGTTCAGGGTTTGAGGCCGGTGTGTAGTTCAAGGTCGGGGTGTTTGATGAAGAGCACTTGCTTAGACCCGGTTGGCCCTGGGATAAAGGGTTTCGGGTTTAGGGTTTAGGGTAAAGATTTGGAGGGTTAAGGGTTGCAGTGGAGTTTGAGTTCAGGGTTTGAGGCCGGTGTGTAGTTCAAGGTCGGGGTGTTTGATGAAGAGCACTAGCTTAGACCCGCTTGGCCCTGGGATAAAGGGTTTCGGGTTTAGGGTTTAGGGTAAAGATTTGGAGGGTTAAGGGTTGCAGTGGAGTTTGAGTTCAGGGTTTGAGGCTGGTGTGTAGTTCAAGGTCGGGGTGTTTGAGTCTTTTAAAAGATGCCCTGACAGAGTTTGAAACCCGCTTTGCCAGCCCTCTGAAGCAGACTCCAGACCCTTGCCCAAGCGCACGTCTACAATCCTTCAAAGAATATCTAAGAATATTTAGCTAACTGCCAGAAGCCCAATTCACGGCTCTTTTTCGTAGTGCACTGCCGTGTGCGCCGGCGATCGTCAGGGCAGCATCCACAGCGGGGCCAACGCAAATCAGGAAGTAGATGGTGGACACCCCGCTGATGGCCAAGTCCCAGTCACAGCCAGCTGGGAATCCTCCAGTCATCAGGCACGCGGACGTCCTCACCAGGGTCTGCCGCAGAGCGCTGCTGGCCAGAGACAAGGAACAGTCGGTAGCGCAGCCGATCTCGAACGCGGCGCTGCACTTCCTTGTCCTCCTCGAGGGTCTGGATTTTTTGCCGCTTCGCCTGGCATTAAGGTTCCAAGCTAGAAGCTCTAGGGATGAAACCCAGAAACGGCCAACGAGAATGTTCCTAAAAATGACAAGCCGCCTCGTTCCGAGCAGAGAGCTGTGCCTCGCGGTCTTCAGACTCTTTCCTTCGCGCACGCTCTAGATCTCTCTCGGTGTGCGCATTGTTCACCGCTGCCATCGCCACGTCCAATGCTCGCTGCGATGTCTGCAATGCGGCTGTATCCTGGGTTGAACCCGAAACGTAATCTATGTTTTTAATACAGAACTAGAAACAAGAAGGCCCATGTGACGAAACAACAAAAGGATTTTGAAGATCTGACTAGTAGCATCGGTTGCACGCCTGCGCTCCGCTGCAAGGTCCGCCTGGACATGCTCAGGTCTAGCTTTGCCGACATACTTATGTCTATGGATATTGATATTTGGACATTGGAGCCTGTGCCGTCTCCAGGCTGCTCTCTGCCTGCACCCGAAGCGTTCGCTCTGCCTGCTCAGGGACTTTGTCTAGACTTGGAACAAGATCTAGATTGTTTAAACAACCGAACCTCCAGCTGCTCGCGGAGCTCTTCTAGCTGCTGCGTGAGGTCGGCCTGATTGTTTCAACTAAAAAAAAGCACAATCAAGGCATCCCCTGCCAAGCTACCCTCGAACCAAAGACACCCCAAACCCCAGACTTACCTGATTATTTTGCCATCCCCCAACCTTCTGCTTCACCAGGCGCTCACCTCCCAGACTGTAGCCGCGATTGGCCGATGTAGAGCTCCTGCAGCACTGAGAAAACCCGCCACCGCCACCCTAAGAAAACCCTCTAATTACCCAGTAACTATACTATGGGACATTATAGGAACTAAAGCTCTGTCGCTGTGCACTGTCCTCCCGCGCCCAGCCTTTGCCACAGGTGCAGATGCCTTCGG